CTTTTCTCAAATTAAAAAATAAACACTCGATCCAGCTTACTTCTAGACATCAAATTGCACATGAGATGCCTAATTCGAATTCGAATATAAGTGAAGGTTCAACTACATAATATCAATTCGAAAATAAAAAAATGGGCACTCACACAGTTACAGCAACAAGCAAAAGATAAAATTTTATAATTCGAATTGAGGCATCGTTGAATGGCGTTTCAGAAAGTGCAAATTTCAAAGTGTGCTTGCTCGACAACTGAACCAGGTCAGAACCTGTTCACTAGTAAAACTTTGTATAATCAACAACAACACATCCGACACTCTTCTACCAGGATAATGAAACTGTTTAGTAAAGGATAACTGCTACATATTGTGAACACCACATCTAAATGACCGACCGGATAAGTTTCTATATCGTAAAGATAGCTGCTGGCTGAAGTGCAGAGCAACATGGGGCACATCTTTAGCTAAAGATTTCATGTTTGCTATGAGCGCGGCGCCGCATTTTGTCACACGTCAATATGATACTACGGTGAGCTGACCATCTGCCACAATGGGACTATACGCTATTATCATATTTTCACAGATTTTACTATCCGCTCAGCCAACGTCCACTCCCTTTGGTCATAGCGAAACAGTTTGCTGTGATTTTTAGTATTAACATGACAAGAGTCTTAGCGAAACTCAGCACATTACTTACACACGCTTTTATTTTAGCGTCGCGGTGTGGGGGCATGAAGCGTCCCCCACAGAGCCGCGACCAAAAAAGGGTCTGTGTGTGCACAGTCAAATCGATCCTCATCACATTCGTTGATAACCCTAAAGAGGAACGTCAGAATAGGTATCACATATCCATCTTCCAATGGCCACAGCGTTTTCACCCAGAACCAGAAGTTATCCTGTGGATGTTAGTTAACTTTGTAGGAAGCGAGTCCCACACTGAGGTATGCTTCGAGGATCCGTAGGAATACTTATTGGAACGGCTGGCATGGTTTTAGCAATCTCAGGTGTGTAACTAGTAATCATGGGAATACTATTAGGAACCTCCAGTATGCTACTATCATCGTCGGAAGTGTTACTAGAAATCTCAGAAATGTTGTTAGTAACCTCACGAATATTCAAAGCCACCGCAATAATGCAAAAAGTGAACGTAGGCAGCTCGGTAGCATTCTGATATGAGTTGCTGGAAACTGACGAATGATCGCAGCATAGTTATCCGAGATAGCTTACTCATTACCTGCGATGGCAATGACTATTCTTGCTGGAAAAGAGTATCGGTATATCGTTCAACTGTGGGTGTCGCGAATGGACTGGTGGGCGTGCAAGGACATTGTGCAACGGTGAATGCAGCGACGGATTTCGTGAGTGTGCGAGTGGGCTTATATTAGTGCCTCAATTCGAATTATAAAATTTATAACTATACGATAAAATTTTATCTTTTGCTCTTTTGCCTTACTTATATGGATGCTTCAATTCGAATTGTAAAGTTTATAAATACGATAAAATTTATCTTTATCGTTTGTCTGTGCATAATAGGATTTTCAGAAGATTTCTTTTATTTTCGAAGTCGAATTCGGCAACTACTCTCTAAATGTAACTCAACAATAAAATTTGGCAAACGAAATTGTTTTTGTTATGTCGAGTACCGAGTATATCAGCGTATAAAAATATTGCTGGCGCAGATAATGTACGGTGCAAATAATGATAGATAACAATGTTTGCTTCACATTTTTCAGGTATGATGTTTTTGCTTCGAAGTTCGAATATCATGATAGTTTCACCTATTTAGTGTCGAAATTGTAGCTTCGTTATTCTGAATTTCTACGCAGATTGTTGATATGCATATGCTAAAAACGAAAGAATGAACACTATTAAATCAATTTGAAATAAGAATAACACTCTCATCATGCAATATCTAATGAAACATACCTATCCCAAAAAATAAGTTGAACTGTTAATTTATTTTAGCTCAGCCCAGGTCGTGGCGGTATAAGGTCAGAAAATCGCTGAAAAACAGAAGCAGTGCTCGGGTGGCGCCCGGTATTTTCCCGCCGGTTCCTACAATATCCTGCGGTCGGAACAATCGACCTGGGTGGGTACTACACGCTTACTATAATTTTGCAGGGAAGATGTTGTGTATTCAGCCACATAAAAACAGTTTGATTTTAGAAACCTGGCTTTAAGATGTTGCACAGAAATCGTGCTCAATAATAACAGCTTGTTATAAAAATTGAATATATTTTTTATTTTAGAATGAAGACAGTCACATTATCTTCAAATTTTGCAATGAACTATTCTCGCTAACTACTGATTCCAAGCAGGACTGAAACATGAACCTAGGGGACTTATACAATATATCCTACTCGAACTCATCCGTGATCTCACACTTTATGATTTTTTCTGGTTAAGCAACTACATACGCATCTGTATATTTATCTATTCATATATATATATATGATTATTGAATAACCTATGAAACTATTTATTTAGCTATCTACCTATGTATTTATACGCGAAAAGATATCCTGTACGATATAAAAAATCAAAGTTGCACAATGCAGAAGACACAAAATTAAAAAAATGATATAGATTGAAAAGACAATAAATGTAAAGAAAAAGCTCGTGCTAATGCAAAAGATGAAATAAAAAAATCAAGGCTATACATGAAAGTTGTTAGCATGTTACTGTTATTCTATAACAAGATGAAGAAGAGCAGTATCGACTATCATGCTTGTTTCAGACTTTTCATTCAAGTTGAAAAAGAATCGAACTGAAAGAAAAAAGAAGAAGAGTGGAATTCAGACGCGGACAATTTACATGTCGGATTTGTTTCTTCATTCTCATTCCTATAACTGAATATTATGAATGTAAATATATAAGAGGATGCTAAACAATTGATTTTTATTCCCGTCAGAGACGTGCAAAGGGCATAATTTTCTCTCCTGTTCTTGCCTATCCTGTTTGCTACATTGGTCTTGGCGGGCGGCAGGACAGGACAACAGGACCGTCCTGTCCTGCGCACGTCTCTGATTCCCGTATGTCAATAAATAAAGGTCAATCTGAATGAGAGTCTGAAAGAAAAATAAATCACAGATCGAAAGGATGTAATACGATTAAGTAAATTTCGCATTGCATATATGCTCGATTTGTTGACAACGAATCGTATTAAAGATGACTCTGGCCTCGGATTGCACGCTTTTGAAAAGTAGGAATTTGAATAGGATCAAACATTTTTTTTATAACTACAGACAAAGGCATAAAAAACGAGAAAAATATTGGGATGTTGAACATTTCTTGTTTAAATTCAAATAAAATATTGCTTTAAACTTTTTCGGGATCAAATTAACTTGACCACTAAATTTTTCTCACGATTTCATTATACTTCTTTCTGACAATAAATGGAATCATTCTGATTATGCTAACTGTCCCAAATGGGTGAATAAAACACTGTGTTTCAACGTTACTAAAAACGTCACGTTCGGTTATTTTTACTTTTTATAAAAGCAGAAAAGTTTAGAGAAAACTATTTTAACGTTTGAAATCCCAGTCAAAGCACTACCCAAATAGATCTAAAAGTGTTTCATTTGGAGAAATAGTATCACAAGAAATTGTATTTTACTAGAGGTCCTGAATAAATAGGAGCTTTTCATGGCATAAATCAAGCACGACCAGTTGCATCAAAAGATGTATGAACGAACTTTTTAACTATCACAGAGTTACGCTTAAACAAGACCATGTACGTACGTGCATGTAATAGAGAACAATAAAAGCTTCTAACAAGCATACAAGCATTTGTAAAGACTATCTTACTTTGTTTGAATATCATTTAATTGAGAGTCATTTTTTAAATTTAGTACGTTTGATAGTGTGAAAAGGAATTGCATTTAAAAGAATGCCCCTGTAAAATATTCGGATTATATGAAAGAATCACTAGGTATCGAATCGATTTGTTTAAAAACTTCAAAACTATGATTAAAAAGCTTTTTTTTAGCAATAGTGCACTTTATTTTTCATTTTTCATAGGAATTATAGGAAGGATCGAAGCTCAGCTAACAGATCGTGTGCATGCCATTGGGAAATACGTGTTTTTAAATTTAAAAAAAATTCAAAAACCTTCGGGAGGGTTTTTGTCATAGTTTTATGAAACACTGACAGATGAATTTTTAATTATTTTAAAATTGCAGGAGAGCATCGTTGAGTACACTTAAACATATATTCTTCGCAAATACAAATGCTGAAATCGAAAAAAAATGCATTTGCCAATACGTTCCTGCACCAACCTATGCTACAATGATTCCTGATGTGCAAGTAAAACTATTCAAGGACAAAAACTATATATTATCATAATGTGCTGCACAATTCCTCTAGCGTGTTAAATGCCGATTTTCATGCATAATGCAACTATTCTATAACAAAAACAAAGATGCAGTATCAGGTTCAACAGATCTTCATCTAATTTATGACAATTGAAGATGACATTTTTCATTTTTACCGATATGGATCCATCTAATTTAACAGAGATACTCACTCTTTTTTCATCGAATGAAAGAAAGTTTAAGATAAATTATATATATTTGTAAAGGAAGAAGCTGTGAAGATATTGATTCTATGCTGCTAGAGTTATATCGAAAGCTACAATGATTCGTAAGAAGCAAAGATACTTGTTGTTTCGTGCGCACCGTTATGGCGTGCTCAGTATGTTTTAAACTGCTACACCCTGAAGAAATCGATGGGCAATAAAGGTTATTGGATTCTTTAATTTTAGCAGAGTCCATGGGAGCTTCACTTTCTCCGTAGAAACTTTCACGCTTTGTTCTAACATTTCGTGCAAGATTTATAATCTGACTGATCAGAGCTGTAATAGAAAAGAAAAGAAAAGAAAAATACTAGCAGAGAACCTAATAGCATTTTAATACCGTTAGAAAAGTTATACTGGATTTCAAATTTTCACTGTTTTATTTTCAATCACATTTGATTTCGATAGAAATGTACAAAAAAATGCATCAAAACTATATCAAATCCTTTTGCTTATGCAGTACAATAACGGAGGCTGCAAACCGGTGGACTAATAAGATCCCATACATAAAATGAAATGAACCGCAATTTGTTACTTGAATCGTATTTGACCAATTACAATTGTTCGAATTCCAAACATAGCACACCGTTCCACTATTAGAGACACCTGATGCTGGCAGTGGACCTGAATACCAACCAGTACCTTGAGCACCACATTGATTTGAAGCTGGGGCAGATGTTGCTAATTGAGTTCCACTAGCCCCATTAAATCGAACCCAGGTCGTATATGAGCTGAATAGAGTTCTATCGCATCCACTTCCAGCAGCGGCTACTGTTAAACGTGTCACATCATTGATTGTTGTATAAGATGAGCATTCAGATGGTCCACCATTAGTCGTTGTTGTTGTAGTTGTAGTTGTAGTTGTTGTCGTAGTTGTAGTGGTTGTGCTCGATACTAAAAATAAAAGGAAAGAATATGGGACATGAAATTTTTGAAAAACTAGCTACAGCTGGTTGTTGCGAATGGTCCTGCATAAGTAAGCACAAGGAATACTGATACTAAAACTGAAGCCATAATAAGGACTACTACAACAGTAGCAGTAACGACTATGAATATTTTCGAAGGAACAGTTACCCTTTTATTAGAAAGAGTATGCATATTATTAAAACTATCATCTCAGAAAGAATCGATTTGCTCACGTAACTTTTTTCGGTGCGGAAGCGACATTATTTAAATTAACATGGACATGGGATGATGATGCCTATATGTTTTAGTCGATTGTTAAGTGATTTCGTAAAATAGTTACTCACCAACTTTGGAATAACGTTCCAATTGCACATTAAAGTTATATATTTGAAACAACAAATAATTTCAAAAGTCTCTTTGAATCTCGCTGTTAGCGCATGCCTTCTTATATACTGTTGCTTGAGTTTCAGTTTGATGAAGCAATCATTCTTTTTTTGTTTACTTTAACCACATTCTATTCTTTCTTCTAACTGTCATGTTGTTACTAGAATTAAAATACCAACCAATCTATTTTACTCTCTGTTAGCGAGAAAAATAAGCCCGGTTTTTCATGCTGATTTATTTTTCAACTCTGTAACATCGAAAATAGATACTAACATCAACATGATTCACAATTATGAATAAGAGAATGAGAGTTCGTATTGATGTGATTAGTGAGTGATTCTAGGCTTTTTCGTAAGACATGTGCATAATTAAGAGTAAAACACCGCTGTGCACATTTCTAAGGAACTCCGTGGTTCCTTTTTATTACTTTTCTATTTTAAACATTACACTCGAAACAAATAACACAACAAAATTGTAATTGAAAACCTGTGAATAATAATTCACTGCTCTTCTTCATGTGAAATTCATACATTGCTCTTAGAGTCGAAAAGTATGTGCACGTTCTTGTCAATAGTCTGCATTTAATCATCTCTAGAAAGAATGCAACCTTGAATATTCATTTCATCGAAAGACTAATGACCGCAAACTCCTTTGTAAAATCACAAGATTGAACAAGCATTCTGACGTCAGTAAACTCAAACTATAGGATTCATTACCATAATTTTCTGGCCCTATTGCAAGCAGCACAAGACAAATGGCTGACTTCAACAGAATTTTTGTAACATCAAATGTTTTGCAACGAAGAGCACTTCTTCATATATGAAGTATAATTACAAGTATCTTGCCGATGGACCACAGAAAAAAGAAATGGCGTAGGATATATTTAGTTTCTATTCGAATTGATGATGAACATGCTCATCTTAATAATTTGAAACTTGGTAATAATAAACATTTTATAAAAGATTGTTTACAGTACAGTATAAAAACTGGTATAAGTAGATTAAATAAAAATATGAAACCAATCAAACAGGTCAGTTTCATCTTATTAAGCAAACAGTTTTCAACTTCATTTAGATTTTAGTTAAAGCTCTTGATTTTTCGTTGCGAACGGTTAGCAATACGAAAGCAACTATATGGAATGTTAAAGAAGAACAGTACAACCACTGTAAAACCGCTATGGAAAGAAAATACTTACATGTCGAAGTTTTCTTCTGTCTTTTTTGATAAAATTCTCTTTTTATACTTATCTTAAGAAAGTAACGTTATCTTCTGTAAGACAAGCTTCAATTTATTATAGTTTTAAATACTCATAGCAATAGAGCAGGTATCTTATCTCTGATGTCGTCGCCCTGAAATTTACTAATATTTTTTCCTTTGATAACAATTGATCTTCGCTACGTGATACTTGGAGTGATGATCAACAGTAGTATTTGATTAAGTGATCTCTACGCAAGAGAAAAATTTGGATTGACTTGTATTACTAACCAAAAGATATTAATTAATCTGAATTCAAGTGTACAGAATAATTTCATATTTTTATATTGAAATGTTATTTATAAGACATCCTCTATACAAAGAAAGCGTATAGAAGTAAGCAATAAAACAGAAAAACTTTAAAAATCTCTGATTTTTCTACACTATGGATATCAATTTATAAAATACAACATTTACTTTTCTTTTATTACGAAATTGATTTTTATGAATGATTTTTCATTGTTGGTTCAAGACTGTGTTCTATACTGCTTTGCAGTCACTATGGGGTGTGGGTGTTGGTGTGGATAAAGAGAGGAATGACACCCACACCCACACCCAGCCATGACGTCGTTAGTTTCTATGAATCGATTTTTTCTGCTCTATGTTGGTCCATTCATCATAGCTGTGGAACTTGTTGGCAGTACGATGCAGCTATTCGTTTTGACGACTGCACTATATTATCGGCGGACTTCATGTATATTCTACTTTATTATTGACTTACCTTACTAGGCCTTACTCCGTACGGTATTTATAATGCTAAGGCACTTATGACGATTGATGTTGAGAAGAATGCTGATCTGAAAGCTACAGAAACATTGACTTGTAACATTATTTACTTTTTGCCTCAATTGCTTATGTAGTAAGTACTTGGTGAAGTAAGTTGATCGTCTTGATTTTCAACTTTGACTTTTGTTTTAGGAACGATTCTATATTTTCATGTTTGCATCACGTCGTTTTCGTCATACTGTGAAAGAGCGAATTCTTTGGTGGCTAAAAGAGGGACGCATTGTTCCATTAATCGGATAACGTCCAAGCTTGTCTTTCATAATCCTATATTTATATAAGAGCATTTATTTATTCATCACTGGTAAAATATTCTGTGAACACTTGACAGATCTGGTCGTTTTAATCATCTTGACCTTGACATCGAATGAATGCTTGCCTAAAAGCGCTATATAAGACACAAAACTTATTAGATCATTTATGAGAGTATGTGCCTTTAGCTTCTATTCAGGTGTATGCTGAAAATCTTCTGGTGCTGGCAGTGGCGGATCCACCAGTTAGGCTACCCGGCCATCGCCACCACCCTGAGGATAGAACCCGACGAAATCTTTGAAATGTTTCTATGATTCAACGCATGATATAATAGATATTGCAATATGATATTTAATCAAAAGATGTCATCTTTGATCGTGAAAATAAGGTTCAGAATATGTAATAAAATAAAGCTCTCTGAGGGAATGACAAGAAGTAGAATAACAGGATTAGTCATAAATATCATCCATTGACAATTGATCAAGTACACTTGAATATTGAAACGTAACCAGCAAAAGCTTATGTGAACAAAAAACCTTGACAAAACCTCAATTTTACTAGGATAGTCTAATTGTATAGCCAGGGGTATTGAAACTTTTACGGGAAATATTTGATTTTTTCAATATAATTTGACCGAAATATCTAAAGCATGTAGTAATGGCATGTAAATATTTGGGAATGCCTGCTTTAGAGTAACAAATATGAATACCATATTCTAGATTGAAATGTATCCATTGCTTACTGAGTTTTTCAAAAAAGCAGTAGTCTCAATTTGCAACAATCACCAGCAACCCCGGTCGAAGAAAACGATCAGTAAACGATCGTATACGATACAAATACGGCCCGTTTTACGTGCCGTATTTTCCCCATCTAACAGGGGCAGTAATATGGCCGTATGTTCTATAGAATACGATAATATTACGCCGGCTTTACGAGATTTTATGGCTGATATACGGTGCCCGTGTGTGACCGTAATACTGCCCCTGTTAAAACGCCTTAATTCGGCTTAAAACGGCCGTTTTACGACGGAATACGATGCAAAAACGACAGTTTACGGTAACGTTACGCCGGTTTACGGTGGTCTGTTTTGATCGACCTGGGAAGAAGCAAATGAAAAGGTATCACTTCATAGTGATATACTATATAAAGCGAAATAAAGAATTCGAAAGATTAAGCACACATTTTTAAATACTTCACGAAAATTCATGCTAGCTTGTTTGAAAAAATTTAGAAATCGCCACCCCCTCTCGAAAATCCTGAATCCGCCGCTGCTGCATCTATCCCTAGCCCTCTTATGTCTATTTATTTATAACCGAATAAAAATCGAAAAAAGGTATCATACGGAGCTTAAAAAACGATTCCGAGATTTTCATCGAAAGCGACGCGATTTTTGAGTTTCGTAAAAATATGGCTAAAGACCAAGTCATCTTTAATTTACATTCAAAATGATTTCGTTGTTGAAACTCTGTCACGATTCTAATGTGACCTATCTACACTCGTAGAATTGGTACCGAGAAACTTATGCCTTTCACTATCCCTTTATTCTAATTCATACAGCGCCTTATATTTAATCTCTAGCAGATTCACACAATCGAAATCTATTTTATTTACACATGTCGATTTAATAAATATATTTTCCCTAACTTATCCCCTTATCTATATATATCCCCTTCAACGTCATGCATCTCCTTAATCTTAATCCATCTCTCTAGGTTAAACCATCAACCTTAAACTATCCCATTATCTGTCTATTCCTAATTGATCATTTCGACCGTATCGATAAGAACCTAAAACAAAAAACAATGAATAAATCAAGATGTTATTATTGAATTCTAGCTTACCATTTCGATCATATCAAATTGTATTCACAGTCAAGAACAGTTCAAAAACGGATATATGATATAGGCTTTTTCAATAGTATTAAAATGGTTTCAGATTTGGAAAATAATATGATTCATAGAAGGGATGATTATTGGTCTAATAGGTTATACTTGATATTGTGGGCAGTTTTAGTTCACTAAATGCATCTCAAACTGAGCAATGATAAAGATGGAAAACGAACACCGATCCAGTAAATTCTAACAAAATCAAAAAATCTAGAGGCTTTTTGTTGGATCAAATAAAAACTCGTGACCGGATTTTAGTTCGTTATTGTACATTTTGAGGTTGAGAATACATGGAAAGTCTACGGTTTGCCGCGAAACATTTCGGAAACTGAATTGATATTTCCACATGCCTCATAAGATTTCGACTAAAGATTTTGGCAGTATAAGTTTCAGAGAATACTCTGAAAGTTTCTGAAAATACGATTAGGTTTCGAATGTCAAGAAAAAGAGATTTCAAAACACTTTATAAGTGTTGATATGTTTTTTTTTAGGGAATCTAAGGGTTTCTGAACTATCAACAGCCAATATGATCATTACAGAAGCGATGTC